CGTGAGCCAAAAAAAGTTTTCCTTATGTGATTATTGGAGAATGTACAGGATGTGCCAAAGCTATTGTAAAGACCTCCTGTAACTAAAATATTTTTAATAACAAAAGCATCCTGCTTTTATGTTGGAAACATATCATGAACTGGAGGGGTGGAGGGGTTCAGGGGACGTTCCATGAAAGGGCCAGTAAATCTATCTGGAGTAAGCGGATTTATGAGGCTGTTTACTTGCCAGCATAATTTCAAGTGTCACGGGATTTCAAAGCCTGCTTCTGAGTGGTACTGAGGGAAACAGAAAGCTTAACCATAAAACTTAAATTGCAAGGAGAAGAATGAATAAATGCAAACCTGGAGCTTCACTTGTTTCTTTTTGTATGCATTAGAAGCAGGAATTGAGTATCTTATTTCAAGTGCATGTGTTTGGTTTCAGGCATGATACGCTGGAGAAATGCATGAAAAACGTCTCCTACCAGCACAATCACTGAATTGATTGTTAGTGGGAAGAGGAGCTTGGCTGTGGCACCCTGGCCTGTATTAAACTTCCTAAAGATACAATTCAAAAGACAAGTGGGAATATGGGCATTCTCCTTGCTGTAGGGCTTCTAGGGTCTGTATGAGACATGGTGAAATCTCTCCTCAGCATCACAGATTCTTCAGTGACATTACTGACTATGGCCGTATTCACCTACATCAGCAGTAAAGTGAGCCCACCATATAACAGAAAGTTTGCTTAAAAACTCTTCCTATTTAATGGGACAGGAAGCTAGATATAGAAACATACTGCAGTTTACCCCAATGGGAGCCTCACTTAATAAATCTAAGAGCCAGTTAGTAGAAAGCAGTTGTATCTTGTGGGACAATCAATTTCATTAGTATGAAGCTGAATGAAAGCCTAGAAGCCTTACTGCCAGACATGAGCAAGGAGGACAGCTCTGCACTGATTTAGCACGGGAGTATTGTGTAACTTGTTATTAGTAGTGTTTATAACCTTAGACTTCTTTAACACTTGCATTTAATATGGAAAAAAACATTTTTAGAGTGTTCATAATGTATAAAATGTGTTGATCTTTTTTTGCTTTCTTCAAACTAAGAAATTGGAGTATTGACAAAACAAATATAGCACAGACATTTTCACACAGATACAGAGTTCTGTACACAGCAGTGTTTAAGTTAGCCTGTCTGAAAGGCAAATGCCTGCAGTGGGAAAGGGCCACATTCTTTGCATCAGTGGGATTATGTGCTTTTAAAGTAAATTTTCTTAACGTATGACATGAGACATGAGATAATTGGAAATGATCTATTGGAAACTTAAAAATCAGGGAAGTTTTGCGTATGATCCACATTTATTCTGCTTTAATCAAAACCCTATTAGTTTGAGACAAGTGATTTATGCAAGGTTCAGTGGCAATTTTAATTTTGGACTTTTGACTCCATGTCTTTAACAACAGATTGATGTTGCTGTCACAATATATCATTAACAAAACATGCCTTGGATAGTTTGGAAGAGAGGGAAGCTGTGTGCAAATGCATCGCAGTCTTAATGAATGTGGGAAATAGATTTAGTGCTACAGAAAAATTCCATGGCATGGTCTTTTGCCACCAAGTTTGTCCACTGGGAATACTCTTCTGTCCCTTCTACCTCCCTATCTCCTCTTCTATTAGACTAACTGCACATATCTCTGCATCGATGCCAGAAGCCCTCTTACAAGGGCTGGCACTAGGTCTTGAGGGTAGGACCTGTGTAAACCAACAGTTCAACAAGCTTTTCTGTTTCAAAAGTAGCTCAGGCATCACAGGCATTAGAGTAGTTCATAGTTCATTAGAGTAGTAGTGGGATATGGATGTGTAAGCAGCTGATTGCTACTATCGGGGAAGTGTTGTGAATGTGTAGGAGTATTTTCAGGGTGTTTTCAAGGCAGCCACTACCACAGTGTCCTCAGACATGATGAAACGGGTGGCAGCAGGAGAAGATGATGAGAACTGTTCCATTGCTTTAACACACAGACTGAGGGGGATGGAGCCAGGCAAAAGCAGTAAAGGCTTGTTACTGCAGCACGGTGCCTCCATTAAGAAATTGTAGCTGCTAAATAGGGCTTCTCTATCCACTCCATGGATAGGCACTAAGAGCTGGAAAAGCAAAGTGGTTTGTTATGTCAGAAAATGTGAGGAGATCAATGGATACAAATACCTGAAAGGAGTGTACAAAGAAGATGGAGCTAGGCTCTTTTCAGTGGTGCCCAGTGACAGGACCAGAGGTAATGGACACAAACTGAAACACAGGAGATTCCCTCTGAACATCAGGAAACACTTTTTTACTGTGGGGATGACCAAGCACTGGCACAGGTTGCCCAGAGAGGCTGTGGAGTCTCCATCCTTGGAGATACTCAAAAGCCATCTGGACGTGGTCCCAGGCAGCCTGCTCTAGGTGTCCCTGATTGAGCAAGGGGGAATGGGACCAGATGACCTCCAGAGGTCCCTTCCAACCTCAACCATTCTGTGATTCTGTGACATACAGGATCTCAGTCTCCCCGTATCAGTAACTGTTTGTCTCATGATTGAACCAGGGTGCCTGCAATACATGGTCTGAGCTGCTCTTGTTTAAAAGTAGAGACCAGATTTGTTAGTAGTAGCTGGCTGTAGATGTATTAGCAGCCACATGTGCTCTAGCCATCCAGAAACTCTACTGCCGGTGCGTGAATTACATCCAAAATTATTTTCTGTCTAGCTCTCGGAGAAGAGCCATTTATAATATTATCAGGGAATAAGTATTTTTTGAGAAGGCTGGAACTGGTGTGAACTATAGAAATACATGCTGTTATGTCTATCACACAAGTACTAGCTTGTTGTGAGACAGCGTAACAATGTCTAATTTTCACAAGAATTCTCTCTCATGAAGTTTTCCAAAGAATCCTATAAAACAAAAAAACTACCTGAAGTCACAGTCTTGCCTTCAACTGGGATGAATTTCTGCTGTGGACTTCACATTGATGATCTAGATTCTAGAAATGGGAACAAGTTGCCAAGAGGCTGGATAATTGGCCATCTCCTTGTGACATGGTTCTCTAATGTTCCCAAAGTGTTTTTGTTACGGACAACGAGCTTGACAGTTTCTGTGGGAAATAACCACTTGTTCTCTTCCTAGTGTAAGGAACATGACCTGGCCACAATTAACCAGTTGCTAGAAGACCCAAAGTTGACGGCAATGAAGTACAGAGAGTGGAGGAACACAAACATCATGCTGGTCCAAGATATCTATCAGCAGCAGGAGGTCCAGGACGTGTCCACAGAGAATAGCGAGGAGCAGGAGATGACTCCACAGCCTATTGCTGAAAGTGCTATCTGAGGCCAGGGTTCAATGGTTCATGGCAAGATTTTTCCCCATGGGACTTCACATACAGGCACTTTAAACTGCTGCATTTTGAGGTTTGTTTTTTCCAAGTGTTCTTTGAAAGGAAAACAATCCCTTCTCCAAAGTTTTAATTTCTCTTGCAAAACTTATTTCATGTCAAAAGGGCAAATCCCCCAAATTACAAAAGCGTGCCCGAACCTGGGCTGCATACCTAAGAAGACTATTTCGTGAAGCAGCAAAGAAATGTTTTTCCATCTTCGGAGAAGTAAATTGAATATGTCCAACTCCTGGAAATCACAGAACTGTATAATATGAACTGTATAAATGTGAGATCCTTGGGGTTGTTTTAAACACATAACTTACTGTTAAAGGAAGCTACAGCAATGCCAACAGAATTATGTAGTCTACTCTCTACCTTTTTACCCTGTAAGGTAACCTGATGTATGCATTTTCATCTCTACATTCATTCACTTTCACCACTCTACCAGTTTCAACTGAAACAAATAGAATAGTAATTACGCATGAGTTTATACTACAGAGAGCTGTCAGGCATCCAGTTTGTGCTCTGCCTGATGTTTTCTGAGTTTCAAATTTATTTATGGACTAGACCAAGGTACTGGCTTTCTACATGAAGAAGAGAAGGTATCTCAGTGTTTGCTAACATGTATTTACTCTTCAGTGAGGCAGCTAATGCTTCAATAAGTTTCAACTTTTCTTATGGACTGGGCAGAATTCCTTGGAAGATTATTTTCTCTTTCTTATTTTTGACAATTGCGAATATATAAGGTACAAGTTCATCCTAGATTCCTACTTGGGAAGGTGATCAAGTTCACAAGGCAGAAGTTAAATAATTGAAATCTTGATGTGGACCTGAAAGTGTAAAATATAGCTGCAAATATTTTTGTAAATATATGTCATTTTCTGGCTTATATGAATGTGACTACTGTATATATGTTTTATTTATATATTTATATATGCTGTATTTCCTAATGTAGATAGGCACACATGGACCAGACCCACCCAGATGAGAGTGCTTACAGGTCAACTTGAGATCCTTCTTTGTTTTTTGTTCCATTATGAATCACAGTAATGACTCTATAACTGAGATTCCGCTGTACATCTGCTCTAACTTTTTCTTCTGTATTTCCAGCTTTGAGTTTTAGATGCAGAAAATTTGTACAGTTTAGGGCAGGAAAAGCACTTTTCTATAAAATGCCTGGATTTCCCTCTGGGCAAACAGAAATAAGTGTTAAGAGGTTTTGCTGCAGGTTCATAACTTTTTGGCTTCATTGTCCTCAGTACAAGGTTTGGATTTTTTGCCTTCACATCTTCTGCATGTGTACAAGTATGAGGAAGTTTGAAAACTGCTGAATTTTGAAAAGCAAGAGTTAGCCCACTGTTCTCAAATTAATGCCACTACAGGAACTGTGGCAATCTTCACTTCCGTTGGCTATTTCGTAAAGATATTCTTTGCCATTAGTTTTCAACACAGTCTACCTTTTAAAGCAAAATACACTATACAGATGCAGCCATAGTCACCAGTCTTTGTATATTATATGCTTTTTCACTGCTTGATTGAGAAAACAAGTTAATAGTGTTAATGGGAAAGTGAAATCTTTTCCACTTGTGTAGTGATGTCTGACTGTTGATATTGCATTTTTAACACTCAGCAGCTTTCCTATTAAAATAGAGACATGGAATTATGTCTCAATGCATAACAAAATTGCAGTTAAGGCTGTGCGGAGTGTAAGAACTGAGAAGCAGACAGTAAGCTACAATCAGAGGAAGAATGTAGGCTCCTTTGATATAGGCTTTAATGGGAGAGGGTCAGGGGAAATGGGCTGGTTGAATGCAGAAGCAGAGCTATGCTTTGGATAGCATCACTGTCTCAGGTATAATAGGGTTTAGGAGTGTGAGGGGTAAGAGCTGATATTGGGTCAGGACTTAATAATTAGGGCTAATCTGCTGGTGGGGAACAAATGTTAGCTGAGATCTGGAAGTGGGTGACAATGACTAAATGGGGAAGCAGATATAAAACCCAGGTTGGTTAAAAAGCTATTATTGTTCTCAGAAGGTTGTCATATGAGCGGTGATTTCATCATTTCAGTAATTCTAACTAGAAGGTGATAGAAATTAAGCAAGCTCAATACCTGTTACAACTTGGTTGAGAGTAATCGCTTCCTGAAAATTGAGCCCATTTTAAGGTTTTTTTATCTTTCACTGTTCCCAGAAGACCTTCTAGACACTGGACTTCTGTGAGTGTCCTGCTCCTGAAGGAAATTCTTCAAAGCAGATGCATAGGTGGGAGAGGGATAACCCCTGAATTTGACAGGATGTCAATTAACTGCTGAGCACAAACTGGAAGTTAGGAGTGTAGGGATTAAGCTGCTTAGTCCATCTCAATTTTAACTACTTGGTGCTAAATAATTGATAAATAATGGAGGTCAAATTGAATGTACACTTCAGATTTTCTCTTGCAGGTGCCAACCATTCAGTTTTTCATGAAACAAAACATGTAATCACCACTTTTCTTCAAAAGCATCTCCACTTAGATCTTGAAAACAAGCACGTGCTTAAGCGGCCTGTAGAACTGAGCCAGGCTGGTCAGTGCCTTGCAGTTCTGAGCAAAGTCCTAATCAACTCTGTTTGCTGAAGTAGATTTGCACTATACACAGGAAAGCACTATGTGGCCTGCACGTGCTGTGTTGGCTGTTTTCACACTGTGCTTTTCTAAGCATGTACAAAACAGGTTTCCCAAATACAGACAAATGTCCTTGAACTGCCCAAACTCTGCTATTGGTTTTGATAAGGTTACGTAGCCCAAAATAGATTTTAAATGACTCTCAGATGGTGAGTAGATACTTATTGTTGAACTGCTGAGTTTTTGAAAACCTGCAGAGTAAGCGCTGTATCATCCTCTTTGAAAATTACAGAAAGGTCCTGAACAGGGTTACTTTAATGCAGTTGTTATTTTAACAAATTTCTATGTGTTCAAGAAAACAAATGTGTGGGTTTTATGCAAGTGCAATGCTAGGAGTCTATCTCCACTCTCCTCAGCTACTGTTAAGACTCAAAACAAATGGCAAGTTTGGGAAATGTGAAGTGAAAACTGTAGTAAAATAGGATTCATCTTCCAGCACTGCTAATTAATGTGACGGTTTTGACCTGGTGCTGGATTCATCACAACAGGCTGCGCAGCAGCGTGAAAGCCACAGTCGAAGAAAGAAGTGTACAGAAGCCGACAGCTACAAACAGTGGATGCAATGGGGAGTCACCTCAGCAGGAGAAACTTCGACAACTCTGTGCTCCACTCAGTGATGCTTGGGGTAAATGGCATCTGTTGGCCTGAATTCTGAAGGCCTGCTCTGCATCCCTAGTGCATGTCTAAAAGTTTTTAACTATCTGCCTCATGGGATTTGTTTTGTGTACTTTTTTTCAGGAGAAAGTGTGTGGATGGAAGTGTGCACGTGCAAACTTATTCCTTTGTCGGTAAAGCCTTTTGGTATTGGTGCACACATTGGTCCAGCAGCACAGATTTTGGAGTAACTAATGACAATATCTAACTTTAGCTGTTTCTGCACCCTGTCTCTGGTGGCTTTTCTGGAAATAGAATCTGTGTTGGTGGTGTAGATCTCATGAGCTACAAGAGTGAGCTGGGATCACATTTCCTTTCCTAAGATGGGAGAGGTTTCATGTGGGGACTGTGAATAATTTCTGCATCTTGTTCTGATGATTTACTCAACACTGGGTTTTGCCTGAAACAGGACTAAACAGGAATAAATGATGTGCTACAACCTCCCCTCCCACCCCCTCACCCAACAATTTTATTTTTGGAGAAACCAAGCTGCTTTGGGACCCCCAGGGAGGGAAGGGAAGAAAAGAGGTGGTATTTGATTTGAAACTATGTGGAATTTCAGAATTTAACATGATTTCTAACTAGGAAAAATTATGGGCATGCTACATCCATTGTGTGAGCCTGTAAGCTTACATGCCTATTACAGACACAACATAAAAACTTGTATTTTTTAACTCTTAAAGTAGCAAGAGAATCCATGTAAGCATATTTCTATGTGAAGAACTCCATGTACTGTGGTTAAAATTTGGGGTTTTGCCTTTTTTATTTGTTTTGCTTTTTTGGTACAAATGTGACTGATTGCAATGAGAGCCTGGGCTTACTTCATTTATGTCTTTCTGTTAACAGGAAGCCAAAATGGTTTTCTTGTAGTAGAGCCAAAGTGGCATTTCTTGTTATGTGTGGGGCATTTTGAAGCAGCAGACATTTTAAGATGTCAGCCAGCATTTCCTTGGTGGCTTGAGGATATATTCCATTTTGGTCTGCTCCAAGCTGCCACATTTTTGTGTTTTTAAGAACCAGCTTCATTACTAACTAAAACAAAATTGAGGTGAAAAAAAGAAAAGGAAAAACAAAACAGAAAAGCTCTGACCTAAGACCAGGCGGAGTGTTTTCTCTGTGCATAAAGGTAATGGGAGTCAAGCTTGCCAAAATCTAGGCATTTCAACACTGAAAAAAGATTGTCAGGTGTTGAGGAGAGTACTACATTCCTTGAAATTTGCTATGGGAGAAGTTCCAAGACCTGTGTGCTCTGGAGGAGTGATTTTTTTATTTTTTTAATAATTTATTTCTTCTTGGTAAAAATCCAAAAGGAGTGGCTTATAAGCTGGCAGAAATGAAATACGCAATTCACTGATAGTTCATCAACCTTGATGTATTACCTCGAAATGACTGACTTCAGATGACTCAGCCTCTAATGCAGAAAATCCTTTGTTCTGGGAAACCATTGTAGCTACCACAGCATCTGAGGCTGAAGTACCCCATGTGGCCCACACAACGTCCATTCTGAGGATGTAGGTGTATGGCATTTCTATAGGGCAGATAGCTTACGGCATCAGACCGCAGCTTAGGAACCATGTGAACTCTAACACTCCCTGTGTCCTAGATGCCTTAGGACCTACACAAATTATTCTGACTCTTG